TCGCATGGACGTTTTAGAATCATCATCCATTAAACGCGTCAACATGGCCATCTGTAATAGGAATGAAGGATAAAAATCATGTTGTGTGCTTACAAATCTGTCCCTCATGTCTTTTTGCTCAAGACAAGCGTCCAAAGTCCCCAGTTCCTCTTCAGATGACAAAGGGAACTGTTGACTGGATAGTCCACAGTCAAATTGACGCGGATGTTCGCGGTCAGTGAACTTTGAGAGCATCAGCTTCATATTTGTATTCAGTTCACTCAAGCTTGCCAATATTTTTAGCTGCACCGTATGCAGCCTTTGAAATATGAAAAATTGAACTTGATCGTACGGATGACTTACTCAGCAATTAGATTTTTATCTTCGGGCGTGGAGGGCGAGGTGTCTAATTGTGTTGAACTACTTAATTGACATGTCCAAATTAAAGAAACTTACTTGACAATCGGAGAGACAACCTTCTCAAACATCCGAAGCTTTGGATATTGAACGCGGCTATACCCAGCCTGCATCTCTGCGACATCCATGTCTACGGAATTGTAAAGAAAACTTTCTTTACGTTTCAATGCATTTCTACGAAAATTTAGTAAGATTATTGAACTGACCTCCTTTGCTTCTCTGTGTTTAACGGTAAATTTCGTCCGGCGAAGAGTTTTGATTAGTAGCATAGCATTTTGGGAACGATGCCAACAAATCATTGGCAGATTTGAGACTATCTATAAGAAGCGATTCTTTGCATGTTTGTAACTAACCGCATTTGTGGACAACACTGCACTTGAACATAGACCAATTTTCTTCAGGTAGGTCATTGTTTTGCAGATGAAGATCAATGTTCTCCCTCGGATACAGACAGCGCTTTTCTCCAATCACCCAAAGTCCCGCTGCAATCACGAACTTACTTTTGCTTTGTGTCTTAAGGATTACGTACTTATTGATTGGAGACTAAATATAACATAACAGGAAATTAAAGGAAATACAATCACATAACAGTATGCAACAAAAGGACAATAACCAAATGATTAACACAATTAATAGACATACATTTACAGTCAACATCACGAATCGAAACCCAACTGTATGCACTGCTAACTACGGAGCATTTAAATATTCCTATATCAGTGGAAGGTAATGGATCTTCAAAGTAATTTTGTGGGTCTGTAAATTGCCTGAATTTTAATAGTCCACTATCCTGAATATCAGTTATCAATCCCGGCTTTCCGTTTACTACTACTACTACATTATCAGGCTTAAATGAATTTATTTGGCTATTCCTAAACATTATTACTTGCTTACGTGAGTCAGCCTTACCTATCACCGGGTTATCATGAGTCGATATGTCAACTTGGAGCCTATCGCAGAAAGACATTTGTTCCGCATAACGCTGAGCTGCTTGCTTAGCCACGGAATACCCACTGTGTACGGATTTCTTAATTTGTCTCATATAAGACCCGAATGGAAATGCTGAGTAGCTATCTAACGGTCCATGTGCTAAAACATCGTCAGGAAGATGCTGTAGCGAATGCACATTATAAACTAAGTTTTCACATCCGTAACACCATTCATATTCTCTTAGAAAATTCCTTAAATCCATCCTGACAGATTCTATCACCCTATTATAAAACTGAGGATGTGCAAGCAAGTAAATAGACAAAGCAAGACGTTTAAAATTTTGAAACAAAGGTTCAGGCAGAATACTTTAAAGAATAACCGGGCCTAAGTATAGAAGAAACAATCTACACTCCGACGCCTTCCATACCGATACGTAGTCAAGTGTTCGACATTTACGCTGAAAGTGAGTGGGAGTAATTTCTACGCACCGAGATATCAACTTATTTATAGTCCTAATTACACATGAGTTCATGTTATTTAGCCTCTTGTGTCCTAATTCTATCCAGAGAGTTACAAGTTTCTTTGTGACACTTAAGTAAACCATGTGCATGAGATCTAAGGGTAAAGCTGATATCATGTTTATTGGCAGACTTTCCCAAACGGTGAATATACGTTTAGAACTGATGACAGTTTCAGGAATCAGACACAATCTATTCACCATAAAGGACATTTTTTATTCGAAAGTCTGGTTTACTTAAGTGTCACAAAGAAACTTGTAACTCTCTGGATAGAATTAGGACACAAGAGGCTAAATAACATGAACTCATGTGTAATTAGGACTATAAATAAGTTGATATCTCGGTGCGTAGAAATTACTCCCACTCACTTTCAGCGTAAATGTCGAACACTTGACTACGTATCGGTATGGAAGGCGTCGGAGTGTAGATTGTTTCTTCTATACTTAGGCCCGGTTATTCTTTAAAGTATTCTGCCTGAACCTTTGTTTCAAAATTTTAAACGTCTTGCTTTGTCTATTTACTTGCTTGCACATCCTCAGTTTTATAATAGGGTGATAGAATCTGTCAGGATGGATTTAAGGAATTTTCTAAGAGAATATGAATGGTGTTACGGATGTGAAAACTTAGTTTATAATGTGCATTCGCTACAGCATCTTCCTGACGATGTTTTAGCACATGGACCGTTAGATAGCTACTCAGCATTTCCATTCGGGTCTTATATGAGACAAATTAAGAAATCCGTACACAGTGGGTATTCCGTGGCTAAGCAAGCAGCTCAGCGTTATGCGGAACAAATGTCTTTCTGCGATAGGCTCCAAGTTGACATATCGACTCATGATAACCCGGTGATAGGTAAGGCTGACTCACGTAAGCAAGTAATAATGTTTAGGAATAGCCAAATAAATTCATTTAAGCCTGATAATGTAGTAGTAGTAGTAAACGGAAAGCCGGGATTGATAACTGATATTCAGGATAGTGGACTATTAAAATTCAGGCAATTTACAGACCCACAAAATTACTTTGAAGATCCATTACCTTCCACTGATATAGGAATATTTAAATGCTCCGTAGTTAGCAGTGCATACAGTTGGGTTTCGATTCGTGATGTTGACTGTAAATGTATGTCTATTAATTGTGTTAATCATTTGGTTATTGTCCTTTTGTTGCATACTGTTATGTGATTGTATTTCCTTTAATTTCCTGTTATGTTATATTTAGTCTCCAATCAATAAGTACGTAATCCTTAAGACACAAAGCAAAAGTAAGTTCGTGATTGCAGCGGGACTTTGGGTGATTGGAGAAAAGCGCTGTCTGTATCCGAGGGAGAACATTGATCTTCATCTGCAAAACAATGACCTACCTGAAGAAAATTGGTCTATGTTCAAGTGCAGTGTTGTCCACAAATGCGGTTAGTTACAAACATGCAAAGAATCGCTTCTTATAGATAGTCTCAAATCTGCCAATGATTTGTTGGCATCGTTCCCAAAATGCTATGCTACTAATCAAAACTCTTCGCCGGACGAAATTTACCGTTAAACACAGAGAAGCAAAGGAGGTCAGTTCAATAATCTTACTAAATTTTCGTAGAAATGCATTGAAACGTAAAGAAAGTTTTCTTTACAATTCCGTAGACATGGATGTCGCAGAGATGCAGGCTGGGTATAGCCGCGTTCAATATCCAAAGCTTCGGATGTTTGAGAAGGTTGTCTCTCCGATTGTCAAGTAAGTTTCTTTAATTTGGACATGTCAATTAAGTAGTTCAACACAATTAGACACCTCGCCCTCCACGCCCGAAGATAAAAATCTAATTGCTGAGTAAGTCATCCGTACGATCAAGTTCAATTTTTCATATTTCAAAGGCTGCATACGGTGCAGCTAAAAATATTGGCAAGCTTGAGTGAACTGAATACAAATATGAAGCTGATGCTCTCAAAGTTCACTGACCGCGAACATCCGCGTCAATTTGACTGTGGACTATCCAGTCAACAGTTCCCTTTGTCATCTGAAGAGGAACTGGGGACTTTGGACGCTTGTCTTGAGCAAAAAGACATGAGGGACAGATTTGTAAGCACACAACATGATTTTTATCCTTCATTCCTATTACAGATGGCCATGTTGACGCGTTTAATGGATGATGATTCTAAAACGTCCATGCGATATCTTCTGTCCTACATCATGAAACCTGAAATCGCCATTAATTTCACGTTACTTGGTACTTCATCAAAACGAGCGATTCAGAAGTGCCGGTTCCATGGCTGCGTGCGAAGTAAGATAAATAAGGTTTTTAAACTTCAGGTGCACTGACTAATGGATTCCTGTCGTCATCTGTGAACGAGAAAGACCTTGCGAAACTATATGGCGACGCAAAGTTATTTTCACAACATGAGAGACAAAGTACAGAAGCGTCATCGACGGAAGAAAGAACACGTATGTACGATTTTAAAGTGATCATTGTTTTTGCATTACCTATAGGTAGAGTCTTCCGTGTTCAAGGATATAACCGTAAGTTCAGCTTCAAGTACCTTGTTGTGCAAAACAAGTTTCCAGATATAGTAACGTTTCTCTTCATTACATTTTAGAATTGACAAGACTTGTTTGAGTCTCCATAGTCCAACAGTCGTGATGGAAAGAAACAATACGTGTAATGCTTTTAGGGTAAAAATCGGCAATTGAAAAACAGAGCGACAGAAAGCGGAAATTTCGCTTTATTTCCCCCCGACAGGCGAAAAAGCAGATATTTTGGCGCATTTCTTCTTTGTTCACCTTTATTTACCCTTTTTTGGTTGTTTGGGTAAATTACATTGGTGTGTATGTAGTGGAAAAGTAAACAATGTACCGGATATTTAGGGTAAAAGTCGGCAATTTAGCGTAATTTGAAAAACAGAGCGACAGAAAGGGAAAATTCCGCTCTATTTTTCCCGCGGACAGGAGAAAAGGCAGATATTTTGGCGCATTTCCGACTTATTTCCCAATGCATTTACGGCTTTATTTCCCCTCTATTTGTTGTTTGGGTTTATTTCCCCTTCATTTGTTGTTTGGGTTATACTAGGGCATGTTCCCTGACAAAAATGTTACAGAAAATAATAGGCTGGGTAGATTTCCCAGTTGAAAAATGAAACGTCTAAATTTTTATAACCTGTATTTGACTAGACTTACTACAGACGTCGTAATACCTTGCTGACCGTAACTAACAAACGCACGCGACCTTGCCAGTGCAACGACTAATCCTAACAATTTCAGTATTCAATATCTTTGTGATGAGCTTAGATGAACCTATTTATTTATTTATGCTCATTTATTTGCGTTTCGATTCGATTTTCGGTCTTTGATATAGCTTGACGTGATTTCAATGCTGCTGATTCATTGCCAAACAAACAGCGTCAATTTTGACAGAACTTCGAATTTCAAACCTTACTGGAATCCACATCCCGGTAATCGGGGAATATTCCTGATCACTGAGTCTCATGATTCTTGCTGTATCCTATCGGGACCCGAAAGCTGGAACAAATCATTCAATATTAGTGGAAGTGGTCGTGATTTAACCATAAATTGTAAATACTGAGCTTTTAGTGTCCAGTACTGTGTCAAGCCCAGATGGGTAATTATGGCTATCGAACGAAGCCATTTATCCATTCTTATTGAGCCGCATTTTGTCCCTGACAATTACCCGTTATTAACCTTGATTCCGAATACCTGTGAGATCTTTATATATCATTACCATCATCATCGTACAGTCAAATTGGCGTCATATCAGTGGGTCACAAAAACTTTAGGTAAATGATGAAAGCTCATTTGAAAGCATCTACAAAAGATACATTTGCCGTAGCTCCTGGTAAGGAATTCCATAGACTATTGATTCTAGCCGCTCAAAGTGTTTTATAGATGTTTATATGGGTTCGTTCTTGTTCTACCATAAGTGAGGCTTTATATCAAAATATTTCAGTGATGTGTAAGGGCGAAAAGAACTATGATCGGCACGATAAATCAAGATCTTGTATCTCTTTCCGTCTATATAGCACATATCAAGAATATAGATCTTTCGGATGAGACGGGTTGGATTTATTTTGTAGACGTGGTACCTTTGTACCTCCTATGCTATGAGCATATTTCAACAGAGCGATATCCTACATAGTCTGAAAGGTTGAAATGTGTTTTTTTTCTTTTTGAAATCTTGAATTAACTCTAAAATGAGTTATGAATGATACTGGTATCAAGGTACCTAGTGTTCTTGAAAGAAACCCCAAGAATGAGAAAGCTTTATCGATTACAAAATGAGAATGAGGAAAGACTCCTGCAGTATCATACAAAAATACCCTTAGATCTTTCACTCCTGTGGAGACCGTGATCTTGAAATCACACCGAAAGTTATAGGTGGATAAAATAACACAACTGTTCTTCACTAAATTTCTGCACTAAGTGGTACCAAAAAGACGAACACTTCTTGTGACCCAGTCATATATCGTGCTCACGTCTTTTCGAAAAGTCGAGACATCGACGGAATCAAGCATTTTTGTTCGAATCATAAAACCATTTAATTATAACAAAGTGTAGGAGTTTAAGAACAGAGTAGTTTGTCAATACTTAATAAGAAGAGCAGCAGTTGGAGCATAGATCCTCGTGGCAGTCCATTTATCATTGAAAACTAATCAGACAAGCCAGGATATATTTCAATGGCTTCTCAACTCTTAAGTAGTTTTAAGTCCATCCCTAGTTACCTACTGATTTCTACATGTTCCAGCTGTTACGTCCAATTATGAGATTTTGCCCGTTCCAACTATTGAAGTACTGGCCGTCGATATTCGCAAATTACGAACCCAAGTAGGCAAGAAAACCAAAACTCCAAATTGGATACCAAGTTTATTCGCAATTCACAAATAATCGACCAAAGTCGTTCTAACAACAATAATTATAACAATTACAGAACAAACCTTCAATTTTGTAGGTTCCCGGAGCAAAAACTCCCAAATACCAAACCAATGACAAAAGAAACCAAAATGTCCGAAAAGAATGATTTAAACAAACAAGTCCAAAGGTTAAGTAAAACAAACACATCCAAAAAACACAATAAAATTGATGTACAGTAGAAGGTTTTAATCAGCCAAATGTTTTCAGTTCTCCCGTAACACAGCTGATGAGGGAAAATATAACAATCGACTTCATTAAAAGCTCTAAACAATTCTAGGAGGTCAACGTACACAGGATGATTTGGTTCCAAGAAGATGGTTTAGTTGTTTTAAGCAGCGAATTGAAAAACGTGTCACCAGTCAGCAAAAATAGAGAAGATGGTGACGGAGAAACTCATAAGTGACTTTCCATGATTCTGACCGCTAGGAACATTCCATGCTTCCCCTCAGATATGTAGGTTTTCAGAATCCAGTTGATCACCAGAAGAGAAATGGAGAAAGTAACTAGTATTGTCTGACCTCGGTCCTCACTTCGGATGAATCTGATAGCTGTTCTCGCTGCACCACTCTTCACTGTAGTCCGTCGTGTGAATTCCTGATGATGTCGACGATCACCTCAGCTACTCACGCCATTGTGTCGAAGAGGTTTCCATAAAGTCCTTCTATTTACGTTATCAACAGCTTCTTCATGACCGACAGCTTTGACGTATAGTACAAGGATGATCTGTGATTTGGCATGTGCACGGCCGATCTTTACGGAATCCGGTCTGATGATCGCAAAGTTTGGTGTTCGCTGAATCTTTCATTAGGTTCAACAACACCCTGTCGAAAACATTCCCTCTTACGGATAGTAGTGTGTCGTCATTGTAGTTCTCACATTTACTAAGATCTCCTTTCTTTGATATCTTGATCAGGTATGCTTCTTTTCAGTTTGTCGGCACCTGTTATTCCTCCCAAATCTTACTGAATAGAACACGGAGCGTGTTTTCAGTTACTTCTGTCTGACTTAAGTGCTCCGGCTGGCATATTGTCAGTTCATGTCACTTTTTACTATTGATTTGTCTGATAGCCATCTTGAATTCTTCGATCGTTGGTGGAGTGACATCTCTAGGAGTGTCTGTGTATGCTGCTTAAATGTTCGATTAGTTTGGTGGTGGCGGCTTATTCAAAAGTTCCTGAGAGCGTTCTACCCAACTGTTCTTCTGTTCATGAATTTCAGCGATTGGCGTACATTCTTTGTCCTTGATCGGTCTCTTTGGTTTTGCCATATTTCCCTACCAGTTCCTTCATTGCGTCATATAGTTGTCTGCAGCTTTTTACGCTGACGTTGCTAGCTCTTCCACATACTTCTGTTCGTGAGCCATAATACTTCTCTTCAGTCTCTTGTTTTGTTTTGTGCTTTTACTTCCTTTGTTCTTGTTTGGCTGTTGTTATTTGCTGTCTTATTGTTCTTCCTTTCTGGAATCTTGTGAGGGGTTCGATAGATATACGTAGAAATATGGTCTGCTTCTCTATCACTACTATTATAATAACAGAACTAATCCTAGAATTGCAGATTTATCATGGTGTGACTTCCTGATCTATAAGATCTTACGTGTACATCACATCATTGTCTATAGTGGCTAATCGTATCGTTACAATTACCAAGATGTCTGGAGTTTCTAAAGGACACATCCAGGTTGGAGATAGAGCAACATATTTAGTATGAGTAAAGTCAAGTTATACAGAATGGCCATGCCTGCAAGGCTGAGTCATACCATCCGATTGAATTCAATTACTTCTTCCCGCCGTCTTCAGTGTTAATCTCTTCGCGTTAAATGTTCAATATTTATTTTCCTAGTTATCACGTGTTCAGCCTTGAGGATTGTGTGGTTAGGGCCAAACGCCACTACAGATCCACTCCGTATGATGAGGTATGGAGCATCCGTCACATTGGAGTTAATGATTCCTCGACCCTCTTCCAGTTGTTCTCCGTAGTAGTTTCTTTTTTCCCCAGTAGATCTTATAAGGTTTGGAACCTGTTGTTCAGAGTTATCTTGAATCGGTTGAGCTTGTCAATATCACAAAGGAAGGCTGTATTGAACCTCTGTGATGCTGTTCCCCCAGTTGTCCAGTGTTTCTTTAGCTTCATTTTTATCTTGACCACAACCAGATGGTGATCTGAAGCAATATTAGCTTCTCTCCTGGTTTTCACATCTTCCACTGACCTTCTGAACGTGTTAAGTTATACAGATATGATCAATCTAGTTTTGTGTAGTGTAATCCGATGAAACAGATGCAGCTTTGTGTATGCGTTTGTGTGAGAATATTGTTCCACCTATAACCATTTTGTTGAATGCACATAAGTATGCCAATTTGTCACCTTTCTCGTTCGTTTCTCCCAGTCATTCCATGTCAATCCATGATATCTTCATACCGATGTTGTCCATTCTGAATATGGCTTTTAGATCTCCCATGATTATGGTCAGGTCGTTTCCCGAGCACTTTTCTATGATTGATTGATGCCTTTCATAACACTTATCCTTATCATCTTCGTTGCCTTAGCAAAATACTCAATGTCTGTCGATCAGATATCATCAGCAACAGCCCACTGTGGAAAAGAACAAATCAACTTCCAGTTGAAAAGGAAATTGGGGAAGGACGATGAAAGTGGACAGAACACACATTACGGAAAACATCAAACTGCTTCACGAGGCAAGTCCTAACTTGGAATCATGCAAGGAAACGAAAAATATGTAGGCCGAATAACGCATTACGTCGATAACTAAAGCAGACATAAAAGGGATGAGTAGCATCTGGAAAGAATTGAACAGGACAGAGTTTAGTGCAGAAAGCTGTTGAGCGGCCCATACTCCGCCACGAATGAAAACATGTGTAAACAACCGCTTGTGAGAGTAATGAGATCACTAGTTTATAGGAGACTTTGGCTTTTCTAAATCCCTAATGTATTGGGTTGACTACGTTCTTTTTTCTGTCAGAAAGTAGTCTGCCTTCGATAAAAAGCACTTGAGGAGATTAAGAATGGTGAAGAAACGCTAATTTGAACATTCACATACGAATATAGCTTACAATTCATCTCAAATTTCTTTGATTTCAAGAGGCTTGAACTCTGGGATGCTTCGATCACTTTGGGAAAGGATGATGCAGCAGTCAGGGGTAAAATATTATAAATTAGAGGGACTTGATAGAAATTCTCAGTATTTGGAGTTGGAAACTCCAATAATAACAGTATGTACTGTCAATAAATATTGGCCTAGTATATCGAATGTTTCAAATACATCTTCGGTTTTTAAGCCTTACTATTTATTTGATGTTGTATTCATTATCTGGGAGCTTGATAATCAAGAACAAGTGATTCAAATAAGGACTATAAAAGCAACGTTCTTGAATGTATCACTTAGCACTTGAATTGAGTAACTTGTTGAGCAATAATAAGTGAACGAACTATTATAAAATTAAACTGAGGCAAATGGACTGGAACAATAATAATAGAAATCATCATCGAATAACATCGCATTCCGAGATTTTTCCAAAATCTTCTACCTGGTAGTATGGTTGTTTATTTGTTCCTTTTCTCTGTCTTGCAGTATAACCTTTATTCGGGTCTCTTTTGACCACACTGTAGTGACCTACTTTTGTGACGAGAACGCGATTGGTATAATCGTAACAATTATCATTATTACTAAATGTACCAGTGATTGTTTGGTCGTATTTGTTTGTTTAACTTTACAAAAGACTTTTCCTTCTGTTGCCTAAGACCTTGCATGAACTTGCTTACACTCGGCAGTTTCGCCAGTAAATTTTCGCATGT